GACGCTAACTCAAGTGAAAATAATCCCGCTACAGCAGTTTGAACAAATTATGGTCCTCCCTTTGTTTCAAATAAAAATGTGTAGATAATATCTTTAGGATATTCTAGAATGAATGAGGTAATCCATAAATAATTGATGTTCATAAACACTGTCTTTCCCATATAAGGAATATTACAGAACCCCCATTGATTACCATCTACTTGAAGCTATTTTTCTAACAAATTTGCCTGGCTTCATTTTTGTTCTTTCACCCTCTGGTCTCATATATTTTTTAGTCTAATAAAGGCTCCAGTTGTGGTGTGTGTGGGAGGGAAAGGGAGCAGCTGACAGCAGATGTTGATGTTAGCTAGCTTTTAGACATAGTGAAAGATGAAAATTCTGTATTGATGTCAAGCCTCTATTCCTCAGAATACCACAAAATGCCTTTCATTCCTTCTTCCAATTTGTGTAAAATATCTAAGTAATGAAACTGAAATTCTTCACCACACAGCAAATGGTTGGGCCAGCCCTGTGCAGCCTTAACCCTTCCTCTGGCTTCCTGTGAAACTCTTTGTGAAAGCATTTTGGGGAATATTCATATCTCCCCCATCCCTCCCCGAGACAGGGTTTCGCTCTTGTTGCCCAGGCTGGGGTGCAATGGCGCAGTCTCGGCTCACTGCAACCTCCGGGTTCAGGTGATTCTCCCACCTCAGCCTCCTGAGTAGCTGGGATTACAGGTGTGCAACACCACACCTGGCTAATTTTTTTGTATTTTTAGTAAAGATGGGGTTTCACCATGTTGGTCAGGCTGGTCTCAAATTCCTGACCTCAGGTAATGCAACCAACCCAGCCTCCCAAAGTGCTGGGATTACAGGTGTGAGCCATGGCACCCGGCAGAATATTCATATCTTAAATAGACTGCTCTACACTGAGAGGAAAGGACAGTCCTCTGAAAAAGCAGTAATAGTGAGTGAGAAAAGATTCTAGATGCTCTTCTAGCATAACTCTGACAGCTTTGCAAACCAGCATAAATCCTCCTACTGTGTCTCCAAGGGGAGGGACAGATGGCAGGGCACCGAGAGGGGCAGTGCAGTGCATGTCCTCTCACATAGGCTGCTATGTTTTCTCTCAACACCCATCAGCAGAACCCTGGGAGGAGGCTGGGAGGAGGCTGTCCCCGACATCATGAGGGCAGATGGTTATTCCCTAGGGCCAGACACATCTCCTTCCCTCTTCCTCCCGTCTTCTCCTCTGGGAACATTTAGGGGATGATTTCTTTCAAATGGAAGGACATAAAGCTTAAGAGATCTCTGAGTTTTCTGAAGTAGAAGCAGCCTGATATTTCTCATAGGGTCCACTAATCTCTGCTCTCAGAACAACACCCTTTTTGAGAATGGTACCAAGTCTTACCAACTAAGCTCTGTGGCCAGTGTTCAAAGTGTACACAGAATTTTTAAAGGCCTCCATCATTTCTTTTTGCTTTATTAAGATAGAGTTTGAAATGAATTGAGTCTCTACCTTAGATGTCCTCTTTTCATTAACAGACAGGCACTAAGAAACAATTTTTTCCAGGATGTGTGGGATCCAAAAATCTATTCTGAGTGAACAAGTTTATTCTTAGCTGTATGTAATTTCCCAAAGTGGAGAAACAACTTCTGTTCATCGTCTGCAGCCATGAGACCAGTTCTGCCAGCAGGCCTTTCTATAAACATTTACTAAAGTATCTATATATTTGCCTGCAGACTGCAAAGGGGAACTTTGAGGAAGAGCAAATAAATTGCCCTTAAATAAAAGTGGAGACGTAACTGGGTTCCACCAGACTTTGAGCACCATGACCATCTGAGCTCTGGACCACAGGCAAACAGCCAGGCCAGTTGACTCTGGTCATTACACAATGCTCAAAACCTGAGGTGTGTGTCTATGCAGGCAGGGCCATCTGCATTCTACTGCTGAGTGACCAGTGCCAGGGGAGTAGGCATGGGTCTGAGGCAGACACAGAGAGAGCTTTATCTCCATTTCCTCTCCCTGGTGCCAAAGAAGACCTTAGTGAGGTGTGCCTCTTCACACATCATTCATCCCCTCAGACCATGGAACTTGAAGCAGCAGGGATCCCACCCAGTACAAGGAAGTCTGGCTGAGCAGTTGAAGGAGGGATGCAAGGCTGCATTGAGAATTCAAATAGTCACAAGACAGATTTTAGTACTTAGATTTCCCCAGGTGCTGGGTTACACAGAATCCATCACCAGGTTAGATTTGCTAGCCGTTCTTGATCCACAACCACCACCCGAGCACTCAGATCTAGGCAGCATTGCTGTCAGAGAGGAAAGTAACCCTGTGTCATTTGCGACTCTGTGAGACTCCAGATGTTGACAAAGAAAGCACTGATGGCAACACCAGCAGACCTTACAGGCCAGAACAGAGCCACGTGGAGCACATGTGCAGATTCAGTCACCACGATCCCACCCTCTCTTCTTGGACTTGCTTTCTCTTTCTGCTTTACCTTTTCAATAAACCTGATTCTTCTCATAAATCTCTGCCTCCTTTAAAATTTTCATATTTATCTTTTTTCACCTTGCTGACCTTTTAAATCCACCCTTTAAGTCCTAGATTCTCCCCTTTCCTCCTTTTGTCCCAAACCCTCCCCAATGTCCCCTCATCTTCATGCTCTGTGTGCAATAAAACTTTCATCTGTGGACCAATCATGCACACAGTTAGAGGTATAAGCACGGCAGATATAAGTATGAGTTGGGGCAGCACAAACCACCTTAAAACTCATTCTTTTTATTGAGTTTCTCTCAAATGCTAAAACTTCTGAAACACAACCCAGCTACTTAAGAGAGCACCAGAGGAGAAAGACACTAAAGAAGTGTGGATAATTGAAGTGGGTGAGGTAGCCCTCATTAGCAAGCTATTCAATGAAAACAAGTCAGTTAACAAGCCTAAAATAAGTTTTGGTATTTTTAATAAACATTTTTTGGCTTATTTTTATGGGGATATATGTATGCCCAGAGAAAAGGACAAGATGACTTTTAAAACTTAGGTAATAAAAGCAGACCATAGATTGAGGAGCCTAGTAGAATTTTTTTGGCAAACATTTTGTTCAATTCTTTTTTTTTTTTTTGAGACAGAATCTTGCTCTGTCACCCAGGCTGGAGTGCAGTGGCGCAATCTTGGCTCACTGCAACCTCCGCCTCCCAGGTTCAAGCAATTCTCTTGCCTCAGCTTCCCAATTAGCTGGGATTACAGGCACATACCACTGTGCCCAGCTAATTTTTGTATATTTAGAGACAGGGTTTCACCATATTGACCACGCTGGTCTTGAACTCCTGACCTCATGATCTGCCCACCTTGGCCTCCCAAAGTGCTGGGATTACAGGTGTGAGCCACCATGCCCAGCCTCAATTCTTAATCTCTAATATTATACCCTGAGTATAAGTGCTGCTTGAATGTCAATTTTTTTAAACAGAAAATCGGTGCAGCATCCCATTTGGTCAGACATGGTGGCTCACACCTATAATTCCAGCACTTTGGGAGGCAGAGGCAGGTGGATCACAAGATCAGGAGTTCAAGACCAGACTGGCCAACATAGTGAAACCCCGTCTCTATTAAAAGAAAAAAAAAAGAAAATCGGTTGGCTAGCCCCCATTCCAGTGGACACATTCTTTTGCTAAAAATGTTAATGGCATTGTTGTAAACACCAGGTCATTAAAAAAAAAAAAAAAGGGAGAACAGGGCCAGGTGGGTTTGGTGGCTCATGCCTGTAATCTTAGCATTTTGGGAGGCCAAGGTGGTAGGATTGAGGCCAGGAGTTTGAAATCAGCTTGGGCAACATAGTGAGACCCCATCCCTACAAAAATGTAAAAAAACATATTAGCTGGGTGTGGTGGCATGTGCCTATAGTCCCACCTACTTGGGAGGATGGCATGAGCCCAGGAGATAGAGGGTGCAGGGAGCTGTGATCACACCACTGCACTCCAGCCTGAGAAAGTGAGAGCCTGTCTCAGAAAAAAAAAAAAAAGCTAATTACCAATCAGGTTAAGGTCAAGCTCCACAGACCAGGAAGCTACAATCTTTAAGGTGAAATTGCATAACTCATCCAATATGCTGATTTTAGTTAAACACATTTTTCCTGGCTGGGCACAATGGCTCATGCCTATAACTCCATCCCAGCACTTTGGGAGGCCAAGGCAGGCAGATCACCCAAGCCCTGGAGTTTGAGACCAGCCTGGAAACATGGCAAAACCACATCTCTACCAAAAAAAAAAAAAAAGCCACACATGGTAGCATGTGCTGATAGTCCTAGCTATGCAGGAGGCTGAGACAGGAAGACTGCATGAGCCTGTGAGATCGAGGTTGCAGTGAGCCATGATCATACCACCATACTCCAGCCTGGGCAACAGAGCAAGATCCTGTCTCAAAAAAAAAAGGCTGGGTGTGGGTGTGGTGGCTCACACCTGTAATCCCAGTATTTTGGAAGGCCGAGGCGGGAGGAGTTCAAAACCAGCCTGGCCAATATAATGAGACCTTGTCTCTACTAAAAAATATTTTTAAAATTAGCCAGGTATGGTGGTACCTGTCTGTAATGCCAGGTACTTGGGAGGCTGAGGCAGAAGAATTGCTTGAACCCAGGAGGTGGAGGTTGCAGTGAGCTGAGATTGTGTCACTGCACTCCAGCCTGGGTGACAGAGTGAGACTCTGTCTCAATAATTTTTTTTTTTTTAATTAGAAATTAAAATTTAAAAAACACATTATTTTAACTTAAGGTTTTCTTAAAACATTCATGAGTTTTCCAGATTTCAAAATGAGAGTCATTAGTGAGCCTTCTCGCCCCTGGGCCAAATACCTGAGCAGAGGCAACAAGATTTCCAGGGAAAGTGATTGGCTTCACTGTGCTCTTCTGCGGCATTATCATCCCCAGGAAAGCAAAGCTAGCTTATAATCAACATCATCATCATAAAAGGTGCAATTAGCTCTACCAGTAGTTCAATATCCAAAGGCTCAGAGAGAAATTGCCATCATACCTTCACTGCTTTGGCTGGAGAACTTTCAGAAAGACTGGAGGCTCTGGCATCTGGATTTAGTGGCTTGGGATGGACAGGCTGTTGAACCTCACTCTTAACCTGGAAGTTACCTGCTTGAGTTACAAAAGGAAGACATTTTATATATATTTTCATGGAAGTCTTGGAAAGTGTTCTTCTAAAAAGCAAGATTTGGGCACTTTCGCTGATGACAGATCCTTCCAACACCAGGGAAAACACTGCTTTTCTGTTGAAGAATATTAGAACACTAACAACTATGGCTCAGGTTTTCTCTGGCCCTCTCACAAATCAGGTTCTCGGTGAGGAGGCTTTCTTACCCCCCGCAACATGGAGCAGAAATCCAAACCACTCTGCATAAAGAACTTTCTTCCTTGTACCATTTGTCAGTTTTAAAGGCCGTATATAGACTTGGATGTCTTTTTGGTCATTAACATTCCTAATAACTTCTTCTGAAGTGTTTAAACTGAAGTTGGAAAAAGGGGGCAATTTGAGGGCAGAAATTTTGTACGGTGTGTGTGTGCGTACATGTGTGTATGCACGCATGTACACACATTTGTGTATGCATGTAACCTGACACTGTGTTTTTGGTCAGCTCTATAGCAGATGTCCATGGGTGAAGATTACGGAAAAGGACTCCATGAAGTTTTTTTCATAATCATTGAAGTGCCAACTGCATGAGTGCCAACTGCCAAAATGAAGAGGTGAGTCAACAAAGTACTAAAATATTAAGGCTTATTTTTCAAAAAAATGTTTCATAAACCGAGTCAAAACTCAGAAACATTTCTAGTCCAAGAAAAAAAATTGCAAAAAAGGAATGTTTCTTGATTCAGGCACAAGGAGTTTTTCTCTGAAATTTTAAGGTAGGGTTTACTAGAAATCTGTTTAACTCATACTTCTATTATAGTTGTGGGGTTTTCAGGGTCCAGTAAACTAATTAGTCTGGGGAGAAGCTAAAAATCCACATATTTATAGTTTTCTTTTTTGTCTTGTGCCCTATAAGAAATCCATATCCATATATATATATATATCTATATATATATATATTTGTTTTTTTTTTTTTTCCAGATGAAGTCTCACTGCGTCACCCAGGCTGGAGGACAGTGGTATGATCTCAGCTCACTAAAACCTCTGCCTCCTGGGCTCAAGTGATCCTCCTGCCTCAGTCTCACAAGTAGTTGGGACCGCAGATGCATGTCACCATGCCCAGCTACTTTTGGTAGAGATAGGGTTTCACCATGTTGCCCAAGCTGGTTTTCAACTCCTGAGCTCAAGCGAACCACCTGCCTCAGCCTACCAAAGTACTGGGATTACAGGCATGAGCCATAGTGCCTAGCAAACACACACACACCCCCCTTAAAACTCCTGACCTCGTGATTCGCCCGTCTCCCAAAGTGCTGGGATTATAGGCATGAGCCATCACGCTCAGCCCAGTCACATATATTTTTAAACGGGCTGAGCACAGTGGCTCACATCCGTAATCTCAACACTTTGAGGGTAAGGTGAGAGGATTGCTTGAGGCCAAGAGCTGGAGATCAGCCTAAGCAACATAGTGAGACCTTGTCTCTATGAAAATATTAAAAAGTTAGCTGGGTGGTGGTATGTGCCTGTAGTCCTAGCTATTTGGGAGGCTGAGGTGGGGGGACTGCTTGAGCCCAGGAGTTTGAGGCTGCAGTGAGCTATGATAATACCAATACACTCCAACCTGGGTAACAGAATGAGACACCCTGTCTCTAAAAAATAAAATTAAAAAGGTATACTGAAAATTAGAATCAGAAGTGAACAGAGTCAAGTAAAAAAAAAAAACACACACACACATTTTTGTCTTTGGGAAAAGGGAGGCTCAAAATGACTCAAAATAGGATGAAAGGTGACAAAATCCACTGTCAGCAGGAAAAGCCCTAGAACCTGGCTAGGAGGTAGACTATAGTATACATTTGGATAAACAGGGAAAATATATATCCTTAACAGATTACTTGTATACTTATTCATTAAAGAATAGGTATTTATGAATAAAATTCTAAATGAGTAAAATCCTTATTGGCCAAACTTCTGTTAAAATGAAACTTCAGGCCGGGCACAGTGGCTCATGCCTGTAATCCCAGCACTTTGGGAGACTGAGGTGGGTGGATCATGAGGTCAGGAGTTCGAGACTAGCCTAACTGACACGGTGAAACCCTGCCTCTGCTAAAAATACAAAATTAGCTGGGCACGGTGGCACACGCCTGCTATCTCAACTATTTAGGAAGCTAAGGCAGGAGAATCACTTGAACCCAGGAGGCAGAGGTTGGAGTGAGCTGAGATCGTGCCACTGCCCTCTAGTCTGGGTGACAGAGACTCCATCTCAAAATTAAATAAATAAATGAAATGAAATGAAACTTCAAAATTAGTTTATACAGCTTTAACTCTGAAAGGGTTTGGTGCAAAAGGTAGGGTAAGTTCAATGAGAAAAGCATTAAAAGTATTCAGTTTGTCCCAAGTTAACAATATTTAATTGAATTTAACTTCTCCCTAAGTCATAAACTATGTAAAGGATATTCAAGCATCAGCCCTTAAATGCAAGTGGAGGACTTAGTATGTTATTTTCTCAGCACTGACAGTAATGGGGACACCCCAGAACCAAATACAGATAGAAAACAAGAACCTCAACCTCCAGATCTAAGGAAGAATGCTTACGGGAGTCATCTTCAGCAGGGGTGGAACGGACTGCCAGGCTATTCTCAGTTGCAGAAATCTACAAAAAAAAAGGGGTGGGGAGTGATGTGGGGTGGGGGGATTAAGAGTCATATTAAAAATAAAAGAGCAAACTGCTGTTAATGCAATAAAAACCTGCTGACTCCAGTCAGTCACTGGCTGCCTGGGGGAAATAACGGGCACCAGAACAGCTGAGCATTTAAACAAGAGGCAGCAAAATGTCTTTTATGAGGATATTAACATGCCTCTCAATTACAGAGTAATGCGAGAAACAGACTGCACTCAACTGCCAAAAGTGTGCATCATCTTCCTTTATAAAAGAACTTCGAAACCATATTTTTCTGCTCTTCAAAAACAAAGGCCTCTATCAAGGAGAGCAAAGCTCCTCACCATATAACCATAACTCACTCCAAGGAAAGATAAAATATTTAAATATACAAACTATTCTTATTTTTTAATTTTCCTAATTCTTATTTCCCAACCAAATCCATCCTGCTGAAACAAGCTTGCCCATATAGAATACCTTTTCATAGTTATAAAACAAATTTACCTATAACTAACCTCGATATTATCTTCGAGGATAGTTTCCCTATTAATCCCAGTCTCAAAATGGCAATGTTTAACAAGATGGCAGATCTTATGTATAGGTGTATATATCTTTTTCCCAAAAGCCATCAAATTTAAATAAAAGAACTCTCTATTAGAGCTCTCCTTCCTTTCCACTGGCCCTCACGCCTTCCTGGTATCATACTCCACATCCAAAATCATGAAGAGTCAACAGGTGACCCAATGTGTACTCTTCACATAATTTCCTTTCATTCAGATGCCATGGATTTTATGGGCATTGCTGAGTATTTATATCGGGATGTCTGACAACCTGAATAGATTTACAATGAAGATTAAGTTGCTGGCTGACTGCACCTGAATTTCAGCATAGTCCTTTTTCTACCACTCTCTTCATTACAGGAATTCTGACATGGCATAAAACAAACCAGTATGATTACAGTCAGTATTTATTGGGTGTTTACTATGCGCCATGTATTCAACTGATCACCTTACAAATGCACTATTTTATCTAATATGAAATAAATTTTCTGAAAGTTGTGTATGCCTACAAAAAGCTCTTCAGTTCTTGAGAAATAGTCGGTATATGCATCTCAGGATGTTCTTCTCTCACCTCTAATTTGGTCACCTGGAATCTGTGTGTTAAACTTTGCTTTTTTTTGAGATGGAGTCTTGCTTTGTTAGCCAGGCTGGAGTGCAGTGGTGCAATCTCAGCTCACTGCAACCTCTGCCTCCCATGTTCAAGCGATTCTCCTGCCTCAGCCTCCCGAGTAGCTGGGCTTAGAGGTGCCCACCACCACAGCTGGCTAATTTTTGTATCTTTAGTAGAGACGGGGTTTCACCATGTTGGCCAGGATGGTCTCCAACTCCTGACCTCAGGTGATCCACCCACCTTTGCCTCCCAAAATGTTGTGATTACAGGTGTGAGCCACCGCACCAGGCCAATGTCCTTTTCTTTAACAAGCTGAAGTTCAAATAACACTTACGTATTGGTTAACAAAATTGAGGCAAATGGCCAAAAGGATAGCTAAGGCTCTGAAAAATATGGCGAATTTTAAGGCAGCCAAGGGTTTATAAACCTGCAGCATGTGCTTGAACATATGTATTGTCTTTATCTTTCTTCCCCACCCACTTCATGATTCAGCTGTACTAATGTCCTTTTAGACTATAATTAAAATGTTCTACTCTTCCAGTTCAGTTCAGAGTTCCAGTTTCAAATCAGCATGAAGACAATGAAGAAGGAAACATGAATTTAGACATCGGAACAATTCAAGCACTATTTCCCAAATGACTGTTTCCCAAACTATGCTCCTGGGATAAAAATGGGGATATTTCAATGCTGGGAATATTTTTCTCTTAAAATTCCTTTCCTTTCCTTTTCTTTTTTTTTCTTACAGTATGTAAGAAAAATTCCAAACATATTTAGTCAGTTATTCTCTTTTTTTTCCCCACCTGGTGCAGGTGGGCTAAGGCTGAAAGGGATATTAGCGCAGTTATTCTTTTTTTCTTTTCTTTTTTTTCTTTTGGCATGATCTCAGCACCCTCTGGGTTCATGCGATTCTCCTACCTCAGACCCCCAAACAGCTGGGATTTCAGGCATGTGCCACCACACCCAGCTAATTTTGTATTTTTTTAGAGACAGGGTTTCACCATGCTGGTCAGCCTGGTCCAGAACTCCTGACCTCAGGTGATCCACCTGCCTCAGCCTCCCAAAGTACTGGGATTACAGGCGTGAACCATCGGGCCCAGCCTAGCCAGTTATTCTTAAGAAATAATCTCCCATTTAAAACATGAGAAAACAAGACAGTTTAACAAAATAACTCACTTAATACATGACATGTGCCCCATAGGCTAATGCCCGAGTCCACTGTTGCAAGGATGTATGCAATTTATGGGTGATTATATGACCATGTAACACACGACAGCCAAATATTTTGTCTTTTTATTCCAACATATACTGTGATGTATAAAATAATTTACTCTAATTTTTTTTCTGTTCTGGTCTTTGAATCAAATTTTGTAGCCATCAGTCTCAGACCATTTTTCTGTGGGCCTACTTTGATCCAAGTGTGTGGCATATCTCATGAGTTCCTGCTAGTATTCTGACAATACACCATCCTACTTTGTAAAGTCTGTTGTAGTCAAGTAAGTTTGAGACAGGGTGCAGTGGTTCATGCCGGTACTTCCAGCACTTTGGGAGGCTGAGGCTGGGGGGATCGCTTGAAGCCAGGAGTTTGAGACCATTCTGAGAATTTTAGCAAGACTCTGTCTCTACAAAAAATAAAGATAAAAATAAATTAGCCCACCATGGTGGCACATACCTGTAGTCCCAGCCACTTGGGAGGCTGAGTCAAAAAGATCACTTGAGCCCAGGAGTTGGAGGCTACAGTGAGCTATGATCACACTACTGCACTCCAGCTTGGGCAACAGCGCAAAACCTTGTCTCTTAAAAAATAATAATAATAAACACAAGCTGGGCGTGGTGGCTCACGCCTGTAATTCCAGCACTTTGGGAGGCCAAGGCAGTCAGATCACAAGGTCAGGAGTTCAAGCCCAACCTGGCCAACATGGTGAAACCCTGTTGCTACTAAAAATACAAAAATTAGCTGGGCGTGGTGGTGGGCGCCTGTAATCCCAGCTACTGGAGAGGCTGAGGCAGGAGAATCGCTTGAACCTGGGAGGTGGAGGTTGCAGTAAGCCAGGATTGCACCATTGCACTCCAGCCTGGGTGACAAGAGCAGAACTCTGTCTCAAAAATAATAATAACAAAAATTTTAAAAAAACAAACATATTCCAACTAAGCTTGAGAACTGTTGCTCTTAATCCATTTTAATGATCTCCAAATCTTTTGGAAGAATAGCATTACGGTGTCAATATGTGTAACAGAAGCAATGGCTTTTCTCCTAAGATTAAATCACTGTAATAGGCTTGAAAACCCTTTCTCCTCATCTCATTTAACATTTGATTATCATATTGACTGAAAGACTAAAAGGACTGGACAATGGGCAGCGGTAGAGAACATGATAAATTCCCCTGACACAAATATTGTTACTTATTTCAATTAAGCCATTCATCTAATGATTAATACATAACGCACTAATATGATTAGTTTAAAATCTTTCAGTGACTTTCTCCTGCTTCACAACTATATCCAAACCCTTCAGGGTGGCATATAAAGATTTTCCAGACCTTATCCTGGCCCTCTCCTTCTGCCTGTCTCTCACCGCTGCCTATGTGTCCTCATGCTCCAGCCAAGCCAGCAAACCTATAATTCTTTGGGAGCCACTTTGGGAGGCTGAGGCGGGTGGATCACTTGAGGTTAGGAGTTCAAGACCAGCCTGGCCAACATGGTGAAACCCCATCCTTACTAAAAATACAAAAATTAGCCAGGTGTGGTGGTGTGCAACTGTAATCCCAGTTACTTGGGAGGCTGAGGCATGTGAATTGCTTGAACCTGGGAGGCGGAGGTTGCATTGAGCCAAGATTGCACCACTGCACTCCAGCCTGGGCAACAGAGCAAGACTCCATCTCCAAACAAACAAACCAAAAAAATCCCTGTAATTCCTCAGTAAGCTGTCATCTCCAGTTTCTGAACCTCTGTTGTATCTGTCTGGAATACCCTTCTATCTCTAACTCAACCTTCCCCTTATTCACTTGGCCTACTCGGCTCCAACATTACCTTCTTGAGGAAGTCAGGTTCAATGTCTTTATTCTGAGCTTCTGTGGTCCTGTATACCCCTCTCACAGCCTCACAGGACCTGTCATACTTTTTTATGCTAGCCCACCTATTATTCATCTCTCCTGTACTGTTTCCTTGCACATAAAGACCACGTGGAATGATTTGTCAATAATTTTTTCAGCTTATTTCCTATGCTTACTTAGCATAGTGACTGCCTTTCAAAATAATATCAGTGAGATAATAAGATTTGCTTGCATAAAATGTGTTAAATGTATACATAAGAATATATGTGTATCTAAAGATAATCTCTAATCAAATAGATTTTTATTTTTATAAATTATTTTTCCCAGGAGCATAGACTCACGTTGCCCTGAATCCATGCTCTCCCAAATAGATTTTTATTTAATTTATTTATTTATTTACTTTTGAGACAGAATCTCACTCTGTTGCTCAGGCTGGAGTGTAGTGGTGCAATCGCGGCTCTCTGCAACCTCCACCTCCCAGGTTCAAGTGATTTTCCTGCCTCAGCCCCCCAAGTAGCTGGGATTACATGTGTGCACCACCACACCTGGCTAATTTTTATATTTTTAGTAGAGACGGTTTCACCATGTGGGCCAAGCTGATCTCAAATTCCTGACCTCAGGTGATCCACCTGGCTCCGCCTCCCAAAGTGCTGGGAATACAGGCGTGAGCCACCATGCTCAGCCTCCAAACAGATTTTTTAAAATCACTTCAGCTCTATGCCTTCTGAGCATCTGCTGAGCAAAATAGTTTTCCAATGAAGGCTCATTATTTGGTCAGCTATAAGTTGCAGAGCTCTTCAACCAAAATTATGTGACCTGCAAAAGTGACAATCTGTCCTGGCAGCTGTTACCAAATTCCCAGACACTCTACAGCCTAGAGTTACAGTTGTTACTAATTTTAAGCATTTAATTTAGAACACATGCTTCCTTGGCAACTGGACGTCAGACTTTTCAACCTACCTTTTCTCCTTCCTGATGGGTGATACAGACCTCAGGACTTGGGGGCACATTCTCCTTTTGCTCCGTTTTATGAATTTTGATTTCGCCACCACTGGCTTTTAACTCATTCTACAAAATAAAAATAACTGTAAAAATTTTCTTAAAGTCTCATCATTCTATTCTCTTCATAGCACATCTATTAGATCAACTTGGAATGTTAAAAAAAAAAAATTCTTCTAAGAAGCCTCAGGTCAAATCAACCCCGTAACTCTCACAAGGAAAACCCATTGACTTGTGAAATGACAAAAGCAGCTTTGTGGACACATACCTCAGAGTTAAATATTTGTATGCTAGACTAAAACTGGATTGCTCATTAGAATACAGACACATCAACACAGATACACAGAACACCCAAGCATAGAACATTCCTGTGATTCACTCTTCTAGCAGCAGAGCTTGTGGTAATGCAAAGCTTGTGAGTTTTATCAGAAAAGACCATTCTGGAGCAGGGGAAAGGATATGCCAAGTGCCAATAATAGAAAATATACTGACCATATATATATAAATGCCCGGCCTGGAAAGAAAGACAGGGTTGATGTATACATATAAAAACTGAAATTATATTTAATGGTACCATAAAGCAACCTTTTTTGTGGGACTTTCAAAAACATGTTTTTCACATACAATTCATATATTGTACTAAAGATATAACTTATTTTACTTCTTATAACAGAGCCTCAACATAAAAGTGCATGCATTTTATTGTCATAAGGAATGAGGATAATTGCATTTTTTCCTTGCAAAGGACACTGGAACAGAATATTACAACTAACTCATCTATTACATCTAAAATCAACGTAGTGACTGGGTGCAGTGGCTCATGCCTGTAATCCCAGTACTTTGGGAGGTGAAATGGGTGGATCACCTGAGGTCAGGAGTCCAAGACCAGCCTGGCCAACATGGTGAAACCCCGTCTCTACTAAAAATACAAAAAATTAGCTGGGCGCAGTGGCACATGCCTATAATCCCAGCTACTCGGGCGGCTGAGGCAGGAGAATCACTTGAATCTGGGAGGCAGAGGTTTCAGTGAGCCGAGATGGTGCTGTTGCACTCCAGCCTGGGCAATAAGTGAAACTTCATCTCAAAATAAATGAAGTAAAATGAAATGAAATGAAATGAAATAAAATAATAAAATCAACATAGAGGTTGATGACTATGGACATTTCCTAACATTAGTCTGCCAGTAATGTAGTAATCGAGTACATTTCTGTTCTCTGTGATTCTTTAGGCATGGGAGGAAACAATTTATGCCCACAGGGCCAATGAAGGGAATGTGAGTATGACTGAGTCACCTAGGGATGGTATTCCAGATTATGGCCCACACCTCTGTGGGTGCGTCTGTGAGAGGAGCTGGCAGCTAGCACTGCAGAACAACACTGTAGCCCACACCTCTGGGGGTGTGTCTGTGAGGAGCTGGCAGCTAGCACTGCAGAACAACACTGTAGCCCAGCAACTCCTTCCATCTCCAAGCCCCACCTCCAGAACTGCTGCCAGAGAGTACGTGCCTTGTTACAACCATATTCTGTAAGGGGCCTGGGAAATTCTTTGCAGATGAGATAAAATGTACTTTTTACAAGAATTCCTGAAGACTTTTCAAACTCTTAAAATCTCCAGAGCAGGAGAACTGTAATGCAGAAATGGTTAGGAGTTAAAAAAAAAAAAAAGTCACTCAACAGGTTTCCCTACATAGGGAGTCACCTCCTGGAATGTTTGCAGCAGGAGGGCACTGAGGAGTAGCACAATCTGGTAACAAGAAGTTCAGCTTCAGAGATCCCAATTTGCTGTCTCTCCTGCCCTGCCTTCTAAGAGAAGTCTAAATTTGCTCACTTTTCACATTCACAGTGCATAATCAGCCCGTGATACTCCACTTTGCTAATTGATTTACACACATCATCTCTTCTTAAAACATAAAGTTGTTAACATTACAGCTTAAAAACCAAGATGAAATTATTCATTGCCCAGAGAATTAGTCCACCAAAGAGTATTGCAGAATGTATACTTAATAATGTGGGGAAGAGAAGGCTTAACTCCCAGAATACACATTATAGTTTCTAACATGCACCAATTTTGATCTGCCTAGGAACAAATACAATTCAATACTGTTCTTTTGATTTTGTTAAACAATTAGGACATCAAGAGATTAATGGTTTGTAATTTGAAATCTTAGGGCAAATGCTTGAAGGACAAAAATATGTGTGTGTACATTTGTATCTATGTGTGTATATATATATGAATAAATAGCACTTAAAAGGTAACTTCTTCTTTTTTTTTTTGAGATGCAATCTCACCCTGTCACCCAGACTGGAGTACAGTAACTCTATCTCCTGGGTTCAAGCGATTCTTTTGCCTCAGCCTCCTAGTAGCTGGGATTACAGGTGTGTGCCACTATGCTCATCTAAGTTTTCTTGTATTTTGAGTAGAGACAGGGTTTCACCATGTTGGCCAGGCTGATTCCAAACTCCGGACCTCAAATGATCCACCTGCCTCAGACTCCCAAAGTGTATGGGTGTAAGCCACCACGCCTGGCTAAAAGGTAACTTCAATTAAGCAGTTCCATAGTGTCAGCTTGCCAGTTAAGCACAGGACAATGTACAATGGAAAGACCCACCACTGTATTTTGAAAATCAGAATTTTCATGCTTACTGAGCACATCACCTTCTTGTGATTTCCCCTTTTCTTATCTACTATTCTACTTCATTAGGAAAACAGTACATCGTAAGGATTAAAGATTAAATAGACAATCTATCGTATGACTACTTCATATGAAATTTCCAAAATAGGCAGATACATAAAGACAGGAAGTAGATCAGTGGTTGCCAGCGAATGAGAGGAGGAGGAGTTGGGAGTGACTGCACAGGTATGGGGTTTCTTTTCAGGGTGATAGAAAGGTTCTGGAATTAAACAGTGGTAATGGTTTGACAACCTTGTGAATATGCTAAAAATCACAAAATTGTGTACTTTAAAATGGTGATTTTATATTATGTGAGTTATATCTCAGTAAAAAATTATTTAAAAAAAACCCTCATTAATAAACGTAGCTGATATTTCTCTCTAGTCTTCTTCATTCTTCCCTCAAAAACCAAAATAAACTCTCCAGTCTTCTTCCTTCTTCCCTCAAAACCCAAGATAAAATGAGAGTTCTATTAAAACCAATAAAATACTACTTCTTTAACAACGACACAAACATTAAGTATAAGAGCCAGAGAAACTCTCAGTGATATTACTGACTGGTAACATCACAAAAAAAGCAAGTGCTCTGGGAACGAGGACCAAGAAAGCAAAGTCAGGATTAGACCACAGTAAGAATAGCAAATCCACGAGGATAGGGTTCATGTGAAAAGAGAACAGCTAGGGGACCAGGACTCAGATGTAAGGGTCTGGTCACATTTCCTAGTTCTAGTACTCAGTGACCATCTGCTGGCTGGGAATGAGTGAATGAATGAATGAATGATGCAGAACACATACTGTATAGTTGGTTGAGCTGCTTTGTTTGGACACAGCTGCCTGGTACTTGGCCATTCGATCCTTTATAGAGGTTTCTGAGAGGCGTGGAAGTTCCAGATTTCGCCTACTCTCATTTTTCTCCAAGTTGAATGTAGAAGAGGACAACTGACCTGGAAGCATCCAAATAACATGTTTTATTTTATTTCTGAGATGGGGGTCTCATTCTATCACCCAAGCTGAAGTGCAGTGGCACGACCGTAGCTCACTGCAGCCTCGAACTCCTGGGCTCAAGAGATTCTCCCACGTCAGCCTCCCAAAGTGCTGGGACTATAGGTGTAAACCACCATGACTGGTCAACATGTTTTATTAGAAGATAAGCCAACATGTTTTATTAGAAGATAAAAGTGATTCAAACAGTTTCAAGATTCTAAATTTTGGGTTGTTATCTAATGGCCAATTTCTTCTAATAAAAGCACAAAGAAAATCAGGAATATAATTGTCATTTCTAAAGTAATATTCATTCACTTTTTTTTGTTTTTTGAGCCAGGGTCTTACTCTGTCACCCGGTTAGAGCATACAGGGCAGTGGCACAATTATAGTTCACTGCAGCTTTGAAGTCTTGGGCTCAAGTCATCCACGCATGTCAGCTTCCCAAGTAGCAGTGAGTTCAAGGACGCACCACCATGCTGGGCTTTTTTCTTTCTTTCTTCTTTTTTTTTTTTTTTTCAGTAGAGACAGGTCTCACTATGCTGCCCAGGCTGGTTGCAAACTCCTGGGTTTAAGTGGTCCTCCTGTCTTAGCCTCCCCAAGTGCTGAAATTACAGGTCTGAGCCACCATGCCTGGCCCCATATTTTAAAATTTTGGGTAATTTAACATGAAAAAGAAGAGATCACAATGCCTTTTAATTTGCATTGTTTTGATTATTAGGTAGCTGATGATTTTCCTGTTTTTACTAATTTTTTATTTTGTGAAGTGCCTGTATATGTCCCCTTTAAAACATAGTAATTCCACTCACAAAATGTTATCACTGTAATACAGGGTAACAAAACTAGATACGGGACACAGCCCATCTATTGAAGCTCTCAAACCCCAGATGACTGGAGCTGAAACTGATTCTAGCACTTTCCTTACAGCCCCTCAAAGTACCCTTTGGTTACCATACGTTACCACTAACAAGGGTGGATTAAAAATACAAAAACTGGCCAGGCGCGGTGGCTCACGCCTATAATCCCAGCACTTTGGGAGGCTGAGGCGGATGGATCACAAGGTCAAGAGATTGAGACCATCCTGGTCAACAAGGTGAAACCCCGTCTCTACTAAAAATACAAAAAAATTAGCTGGGCGTGGTGGTGTGCACGTGTAGTCCCAGCTACTTGGGAGGCTGAGGCAGGAGAATTGCTTGAACCCAGAAGGCGGAGGTTGCAGTGAGCCGAGATCGTGCCATTGCACTCCAGTCTGGGTAACAACAGTGAAACTCCATCTCAAAAAAAAAAAAATACAAATACAAAAACCGACCTGAGGTCGGGGGTTCGATACCAGCCTGATCAACATGGAGAAACCCCATCCCATCTCTATTAAAAATACAAAATTAGTCGGGTATGGTGGTGCATGCCTGTAATCCCATCTGCTCGGAAGGCTAAGGCACAAGAATCACTTGAACCTGGGAGACAGAAGTTGCTGTGAGCTGAGATCGTGCCATTGCACTCCAGCCTGGGCAACAAGAGTGACACTCTGTCTCAAAAACAACAACAACAATAAAATTTTTTTAGAAGAGCTATTTATTGAATGCAATGAGAATTGAGAAAGGCTTACATCTAATAGGGAGACTTCCTTTTAATTTGTGCCACTTTTCCTTTAAAAGCATTGGCTTTGAGTCCAAAAGATGTTGCTATACTGAGTACTTCCTATAGGACCTCATACACATGGAACTCTCCGCTTACCTGGACCTATTTCCAGGTCATCCAGAGAACAGCTGTTTTCAGAGATCTTCCTTCCATTCGTACTTCGGCTTTGGGCTCGGAGAATCTGTTTGGAAAATGAAACCCAACAATAAGTTTTGCAGAAACAATGGGAAATTGCGATGCAAGGTTCAACTTGCAAGCCTTCTTTATGAATAAAATACAGGTTCGATTTTATTTTTATCTTCCTTAGAATTTTTTAAAAATTACCAGCCAGGTGCAGTGGCTCACATCTGTAATTCCAGCACTTTGGGCAGCCGAGGCGGGTGAATCATGAGCTCAGGGGTTCCAGACCAGCCTGGCCAAGATGGTGAAACCCCGCCTATACTAAAAATACAAAAAATTAACCAGTTGTGGTGGCAGGCGCCTGTAATCCCAGCTACTTGAGAGGCTGAGGCGGAGAATTGCTTGAACCTGGGAGGCAGAGGTTGCAGTGAGCCAAGATCGCGCCACTGTACTCCAGCCTGGGAAAACAGAGTGAGACTCCATCTCAAAAAAAAAAAAAAATTACAAATATCAAGTGCTACATATTCACAGGTGCCCAGGAAAGAATAAGTAACTCTATATAGGTAACATTCTCTGCTAAAGATCACTTCCTAACCAGCAAGCTTTGTAACACTTATTGGAGGAGAATCCTCACATCCCAGATGACGATGACATGTCCTTCCAAATTGCCAAGTCCTGACGCAGAATCTGCTGTTTCCTTTCTCGATCTCATGTTATCTCTGCTATTGCTGCCTTGGTTCATGTCTTCATCATCTTTCCCCTGGACTACTGCATTACACCTATTTAACTTCCAATCTATTCTCTATGACGCTGCCATTATTCCCAAAATACAAAGTAATTATCCAAAAATATAAACCTATTTTACTCTCCTGGTCTAAATTCTTTAAAATTCCCACTCACTTCTGAAATTAAATCCAAAGTGCTTAGTAAGTCACAGAAGTCCTGTTCTAGATCTGGTCCCTATCAAGCCAGCCTCCTTTGTCCTTCTGTTGTCTTGCAAATGCCTGTTTCTTCAAAGACTCAGTGAAAACACTGAAGTCTTGAGTACCTCGCCAACATAAGTTTAGGTAATCTTTCCTCTGTTCCCAAGGCACCTGGTCAAACCGTTTTGTGACTGTCCCTCTACTGCACTATAAGCTCACTGAAAGCAGAGACCATGCCTTTTCGTCCATATATTTCCAGGACTTACAGAAAAGTGGATGGCACAGATTTAGCCTGGGTGACAGAGCAAGACTCTGTCTCACACACACACACACACACAAAGAAAGAAAATGAAGATCATTGGTCAAGAGGAAAAGATATGTCTGGCAGGATACCCTCAATCTATATTTTAAATATTTATTTATTTATTTGAGACAGAGTCTTTATTGCTGGCTGGAGTCCAGCGGTACAATCTCAGCTCACTGCAACCCCTACCTCCTAAGCTCAAACAATTTTCCTGTCTCAGCCTCCTGAGTAGCTGGGATTACAGGCATCTGCCACCACACCTAATTATTTGTGTTTTTGGTAGAGATGGGGTTTCACTATGTTGGCTAGGCTGGTCTCAAACTCCTGACTGCAAGTGATCTGCCCACCTCGGCCTCCCAAAGTGCTGGGATTACAGGTGTGAGCCACCATACCTGGCCCACATTTTTAATTTTGTTTCAACATACTTCTCATTTGCCAATCATTAAAATAAAGAAAATTTCACAGACTTACTCCAAATGGTGCTGCGCCAGAAGATAAACAGTACAAAAATTAGAATTTTCAGGACTCAAAATGAGAGAAAGCCTGCTGATAAACTTTTTTTGAAAAACCAAAAGGAGCCTGGCACAGTGGCTCATACCTATGATCCCAGTACTTTGGGAGACTGAGGCAGGTGGATTATTTGAGGTCAGGAGTTCGAGACCAGCCTGGCCAACATGGCAAAACCCTGTCTCTACTAAAAATACAAAAATTAGCTGGGTGTGGTAGTGTCTGCCTGTAATCCTAGCTACCAGAGACAGAGGCAGGAGAATCGCTTGTACCTGGGAGGCAGAGGTTGCAGTGAACTGAGATCATGCCACTGCATTCCAGCCTGGACAACAGAGAGACACCCCGTTTAAAAAAAAAGGAAAAAAATCAAAAGGAAACAGATTGCATTCTTAATACAGATATTTACTTTCTATCTAAGGTAAAGTTCAAGCACAATTCCAAGAATATATGTTACATGTTACAACCTGCAGAGAGCTCAGCTTTCTGTCTAATTGGAGCTATACATCCTTCTCTGTCTTGCGTGAAGTCCCTGCACTGCTGTTACTGGGAGCACAATCGTTTAGAACCAGAGTATACACCTTGCCAGGGCAGAGGCTTTCTTTGATTTTAAATGCAGAAAATGTCCCATCTTTGCTAGCTTTTAATTTAAACTACTGGGTTAAATAATACCCCACTCCCCGCCACCTTTTGAAGCCTTTTGCTCCATGGGGGTATCAAAACTCTGCATTAATTTCTTTCAAGTACTAAAAAAGTAAATGTGCAAAGCCATTTGTTCTCAGAGAAAAATAGGAAGAGAACTGTCTCTGAAAATCCTTTATGCTGACTGTGGCTCTCAGGAGAAATAGAGCTCTGAGGTAAGATGGGTTTTAATGATATCTCAGGTGAAGCACAGCATTACTTTCAATATCTTTCACCTCCAAACCACTCCAACATTAAGAATAACAAGGTTGGGCCAGGCATGGTGGCTCATACCTGTAATCCCAGCACTTCGGGAGGCTGAGGCTGGTGGATTACCTGAGGTCAGACATTCAAGACCAGCCTGGGCAACCTGGTGAAACCCCGTCTCTACTAAAACTACAAAAAAAATTAGCTGGGCATGGTGGCGTGTGCCTGTAATCGCAGCTACTCAAGAGTCTGAGGCAAGAGAATTGCCTGAACCCAGGAGGCGGAGGTTGCGGTGAGCCGAGATCGCGCCATTGCACTCCAGCCTGGGTAACAAGAGCGAAACTCAGTCTCAAAAAAAAAAAAAAAAAAAAATTAGCTGGACATGGTGGTGAATGTCTGTAATCCCAGATACTCGGGAGGCTGAGGCAGGAGAATCGCTGAGCCTGGGAGGCAGAGGTTGCAGTATGCCACTGCACTGCAGCCTGGGCAACAAGAGCTAGACTCTGTCTAAAAAAATAATAATAATAAAAATAACAAGGCTGGGTGTGGTAGCTCATGCCTGTATCTCAGCACTTTTGGAGGTAGAGGCAGGAGGACTGCTTGAGGCCAGGCATTTGAGACAGGTCTGGGCAGCATGGTGAGACCCTGACTCTGCTTTAAAAAAAAAAAAAAAAAAAATTAGCCGGGCATGGTGATGATGCTCGCAGTCCCAGCTACTCCAGAGGCTGAGGTGGAATGATTGCTTGAGTCCAGGAAGTTGAGGCTACCGTGAGCTATGATTGTGCCACTGCACTCCAGCCTGTCTCAAAACAAGACCCTGTCTCAAAAACAAACAAAAAATGATCTCGAATCCATTAGAGTTTTATAATCCACATTTTCCGAGTGGCAATCTGAGGTACAGGAAGAAGGAGGAGTTTCCTCCAATATTTCTCAAGGAAGTAAAGGAAAACACACACACACACACACACACACACACACACACACACACAGGAATTCTGACTCCAGAATACTCTTGTGTAACAGGCTTTTATCACATTTTAGCTTTTTACTCAGACACTTGAGGGAGCCTTAATCATTCTAATGTCAAAGAAAGAGAGTAGACAAGACTGTTTTAAGACTTTCTGGAATTTCCTAAGTCCTGGCCTCACCCCACCCAGCAAGTCCTCCTTCCTGTCAGCTGACAAAACTCTGGTTAGTATGAACATCACTCAAATATTCTCTGTGAATCCATAAATCAGATGCACCAAGACGTACTAGTAAGAAGATAAAAGTTTGGGGTTTTTAGCCAGTAGTCTGTAGGATTTTTTCCATATTTTTGAAAAAAGAAATTAAGTTAGGTTCTAAATAAGTAACAAAGCAGGATTTCCTGTCCTTTCTACACCTATCTTCAGAAAAAGTTATCTTTAAAAGTTGATTCTCAACACTTTTTACTGAGTCCCCTACCTCACTTAGCCACTTCCTTTAACCTTTCAACTTCAACCTTCCTTTGGATGCTCTCATCTTGCCAAAGTCAAGAGCAGAGGGAAAAATGAAACTTTGCTGAATTATGCATGGGGATCGGGGCATAGATAAAAGCTAGCCTCCTCGATTTTCTCTCAAGACTCAAGACTTTAAGTCTTGAGAGAAAAATTTCTTTCTTAAGGAACTCTTAGAAAAAGAGTTCATGTAAGTAAAATAATACACATAGAAAGAGCTTTTAAACCAGGTGGTAGGATTTCTCTACATTTTCTGTATTCCCAAGCATTCTACAAATACTATGTGTTAGTCTTATAATTAGGGAAAGAAAAAAAAGGAGAGAGAGATAACAAGTTATATCTATTAATTTAAGTAAACAAAAATGGTAAAACCAAATGCTAATGAAGCATTGGGGAATGTGTCCTAAGATTGTACTAGCAGTGTTATAAAATAGTATAATCTTGAGAACAAGATGAAAATATGTAAGAATAAATAATAAATCATACCTTTTGATGTAAGAACAATGTTTAATGAATTATATCTTTTTAATTTTTTTTTTTTTTTTTTTTGAGACAAAGTCTTGCCCTGTTGTCCTGGATGGAGTGCAGTGGTATCTCAGCTCACTGCATCCTCTGCCTCCCAGGTTGAAGCAATTCTATTGCCTCGGCCTTCTGAGTAGTGGGGATTTCAGGTGCACATCACCATGCCTCCCTAATTTTTGTATTTTTAGTAGAGATGGGGTTTTGCCATGTTGGGAGGCTGGTCTCAAACTCCTGACCTCAAGTGATCCACCTGCCTTGGCCTCCCAAAGTGCTGGGATTCATGATCCACCATGCCAGGACCCAAACCCACAAGGTTCTAACTCTACAGCTTTCATTTTTATCTCTTGCATTCCAATATATTTCTTCTGTTCACTGTCCTGATGCTTTTCAATTAGTTAAGCATAAAATGTGGGAAGACAGAGTTAATGTCTTTGAGAACATAGCTGTTGTTATGTTTTCAATTCTTCTCAGTTTCCTTAGATTTCAGATATGTAGGGCCATGGCCCATTGCTTCTATCCAACAAATAGTTATAATATCCATGAAGATATCATTATATGGTAGAAGGGTTACTACACAATTTCAGTATTGTTCTGATATTAATTAGCCACATGACATTGGGTATATCATTAACTTCTCTGACCTCATCTGATAGTATCTATAAAATTGGGATTGTAAGATTCTAACTGACTGAGGGCATTGAGCTGGATTAAGTAACTTCTTAAACTCTTGTAAGGTTCTAGGATCTGTATGTCAACAATTTTAATAGCGATTTATCACTCATTGCAACTCACTGATGAATTAGAATGAGATAGAAGGCTAGAGGAAATGACTCTTAAATATACTCATCTGGATACATACCTACTTCGTGCAATTCAGGAGTGAGTCTGCTAGCAGGAAGACAAAGGTAGTAATATTTTGTAGTGGGGTAAGATGAAATCTTTCCAGCCCCCTTGACATCTAATATACCAACACTGCTTAAAGAATGTTCCAGTCTCCTGACATTGCTTGTTGATATGTTTTACTAATGAAACTGGCTAAAAACCAGTATATAGTTAGTGGACATGAAAGTAAGCAGAGAAGAGATGAGTGGTCTCTGGCTGGCACATCAAGGGCAGTCATTTAGGGCAAGGGACAATTTAAAAGACTGCAATTCTTTGACTGGTATCTTTACCCTGGATCCATTATTATCTTACACACACACACACACAGATTACTCAGAGCTAATCATTAAGAATAAATAAAAAATTTATGACCAGGCGTGGGTTCATGCCTGTAATCCCAGCACTTTGGGAGGCCAAGGCAGGCGGATCACCTGAGGTTAGGAGTTTGAGACCTGGCCAACACGGCGAAAACTGTCTCTACTAAAAATACAAAAATTAGCTGGGTGTGGTGGTGGTGGCATGCGCTGGTAATCCCAGCTACCCAGGAGGCTGAGGCAGAATTGCTGGAACAGGAATGCAGGAGAGGGATGGCGGGGGAGAGGCTGCAGTGAGCTGAGGTTGCGCCACTGTACTCTAGCCTGGGTGACAGGGCAAAACTCCGAAAATAAATAAATAAATAAATAAATAAATAAATAAATAAATAAATAAAGTATGATATGTAGTCTTTACAAGAAATGTACCACTACAGATAGATGTCAGTAAAAATAATGCTAAGAATAGCCTTATTTACATTTTGGAAATGACAAGAAAAGGTATAAACTGTATGCTAAATCAGCAAAAAGTTAGTTTTACCAAAATATGTGAGAAAGAGTGCATTGATAGAAAAACAAAGACAACTCTTGTGTACAATTAACAATAATAATATGCAAAAGCAATTGCCACATTTTTTTTTTTTTTTTTTTTTTTTTTTTGAGACGGAGTTTCGCTCTTGTTACCCAGGCTGGAGTGCAATGGCGCGATCTCGGCTCACTGCAGCCTCTGCCTCCTGGGTTCAGGCAATTCTCCTGCCTCAGCCTCCCGAGTAGCTGAGATTATAGGCACGCGCCACCATGCCCAGCTAATTTTTTTGTATTTTTAGTAGAGACGGGGTTTCACCATGTTGACCAGGATGGTCTCGATCTGTTGACCTCGTGATCCACCCGCCTCGGCCTCCCAAAGTGCTGGGATTACAGGCTTGAGCCACCAGGTCCGGCCGCAATTGCCACATTTAAAGGACTAGCAACATATCTATTGGAGATTAAACGTCAGGTCAAGGTAAGAGTTAAGATTCACTGACAGGCAAATTAAAGATATACTCCCCAAAATTGAGATGACTGTATAGACTCCACAGTGATGTTAATAGTTATTCAAATACTTTTCCTCCCCAAACTCACTTTAAAATTTTAACTTAAAACTACACAATTAATATCAATTATGAACATCCTCAGAATTATATTCTGCTTGGGATATAATTCTAGATAACTTAAGACGTATTCAGAAAGCAGAAGAAAAATTTTTATCATGATAATGTTAAGTAGATAAAGGAACACATGCAATTATTAACTAAAAGGAAGATAAAATGTTATGAATAATTTCTGTAACAATCTGGGGATTCCCTATGGACACCTACCCATTCATCAAGAAAGCCTATATAAATTATTTCTTTGATGCAGATTACAGATTGGCTAGCTATGAATAAACAGCTGATGAACAGAAATCATCACACTTTAGCTTGGTTACCTTACTCTCTTAAGGGCTCATTCTACTACATCAATATATATATACTGTTAAATACCAGCATTATGCAAAACTAAACAAAATACCAAGTGTCTTTTGTTGGAACTTACAAGAAGAAAACCACAATGATGTTGGAACAAGTGAAGCTTTTGCTGGCATTTTGATGCTATCTATACATATCATGATCCGGGTGGTAAGAGGAACTGAAATTCAGAGGGAAGCTAAAGGGCTGGGGATCTAAGGGGAGACAAGTCATAAACAAGAGAAAAGGGTGTCCGGGCAAAGGAAATTTCCTTTGTTATTTTAGATACATCTATTTTACCTGAATGTAACTGCTTTATTTTTATAATATAAAATAAGTTAGGCCAGGTGCGGTGGCTCACGCCTGTAATCCTACCACTTTGGGAGGCCGCGGAGGTGGATCACTTGAGGCTGGGAGTTCAAGACCAGCCTGGCCAACATGGCGAAACCCCATTGCTACTAAAAATACAAAAATTAGCCAGATGTCGTGGTGCATGCCTGTAATACCAGCTACTCAGGAGGCTGAGGCAGAGAACTGCTTGAGCCTGGGAGGCAGAGACTTCGGTGAGCTGAGATCGCGCCACTTCATTCCAGCCTGGGTGACAGAGGGAGACTCTGTCTTAAAAACAAACAAAACCAAAAACAATAAAAACAAATGTCGGCTGGGCGCGGTGGCTCACGCCTGTAATCCCAGCACTTTGGGAGGCCGAGGTGGGCAGATTACGAGGACAGGAGATCAAGACCATCCTGGCTAACATGATGAAACCCCATCTCTACTAAAATACAAAAAATTAGCCATGTGTGGTGGCTCACGCCTGTAGTCCCAGCTACTCAGGAGGCTGAGGCAGGGGAATCACTTGAACCCAGGTGGCAGAGGTTGCAGTGAGCTGAGATTTTGCCACTGCACTCCAGCTTGTGACAGAGCAAGACTCTGTCTCAAAAAAAAAAAAAAAAAAAAGTCAAAATGACAATAACGAGGGTCTTAACTAGTTGATCAGCTATCTTTTTTATAAAAGGATGTCCTGAATAGTTATCTTAGCCACCTAAAACCTAGATTAATACATGTAAGAAATTAGGAATGCTAAACCACATTCGCTAAGTGTCACTGTGGCATTTCTTTTTCCTTTTTTTTGAGAAGGAGTTTCACTCTTGTTGCCCAGGCTGGAGTACAATGGCTCCTGCTTCAGCTTCCTGAGTAGCTGAGATTATAGGCATGCACCACCATACCCAGATAATTTTGTATTTTTAGTAGAGATGGGGTTTCTCCATGTTGGTGAGGTTGGTCTTAAACTGCCAACCACAACTGATCTGCCCGCCTATACCTCCAAAAGTGCTGGGATTACAGGTACGAGCCATTGAGGCTGGCCTAAGAAATAGGCTTTAATCAATTTTCATTATTTGGAAGGTAGCTATGCTTACTGCTATACCATCAATGCTACTTCCTTTTATTAAATAAACACTATGAACCAAGTTATTGACCACTAGGGTATAAAAACATCCGTACTTTTTTTTTAATTTATAAAAATAAGAATTTTTTATTTTTACCTTATCTAGTAGCAAACACAAAACTATCCTGACTTTAAAAGCCAACATTGTTCTTTCTCCTACTTGGATGACAAGTTCATATACAGTCAAGCAAGTGCCCCACAGAAAAACCCCAGAATTGAAAACAGGTGTATTCCCTTCAGAAAAATCAAAACTAGAATGTTTAGCTATTCAAGTGTTTCCCCCCAGACTAAGATCAAATGACTTCACTGCAGTGGCTCAAGAGTGGCTGACTCCCTCCTTCCGAATCAGTCCATCATAGAACACCTATTGCTAAGTAGCAAGCCAGAAGCTTAGACTGGATCCCTCATAATCACAGACTTCAAAGTGTGCAGAACTTCAAGCATGGCCTATGAAGTAAGGTCTTTTAAGTACAATTGCAATTTTATTTTTCTCCAGAGGATAGTTTTTCTTGAGTCCTTAAGTACTCTGCTCCTTATATGGGCTTTGGTGGGGGGCATGGGGCAGCCCCCACAGGTCTCATTGAGGTAGATATGTTTGGTCCTTGTGGGCTTCATGAGCTCAATTCCTGCCTACTGTGCTGTGAATAGCACAGCTCACAAAGTAATGCAGCTTCACATCCAGCCTGGGAAGTACACAGGTGTCAAGGACACACACTTCAGAAACATCACTGACTGCTGCAGCCTCTACATTTCAAATGATGAATTTCTTAAAGGCCTTGTCGTTGGGCACACAATGGACACAGTTCATGAAACAAATAGGCTGCAGTGAATAGCACACCCCCGGTTGTGGCCCTCGTTGGCACGACCATTGTTTCTTCTTTTCTTTGTGATCTTGGAGGTGCAGACCCAAGAAAGAGAAGTAAAAATCTTAATTTGAGGGTGACTAAATAAGTGCTTTAAGGCCACTTGGCTCAAATACACATTCTGCAAGACAGCTCAAGAAAAAAGGCAAAGTAGGCATCTCCCTCAAGGCTATGGGCTCCATAATACTTAGCACAGTTGTCCCCAGATGTAAACACTTCCCATGGCACGCTTCTTCCCTGTGTCCCAGGTTAGGCACAATGATGCCAAGGAGATCTGTCATCGACACTCTCATCCTTTAAGCATTTCAGGTCAGATGTGGTGGCTCACGCCTGTAACCTTACCAGTTTGGGAGGCCAAGGCAGGAGGCCAAGAAGTTTAAGACCAGTTTAAGACCAGTCTGGGCGAGGTAGTGAAACCCCATCTCCATAAAAAATTTTAAAAATTAGCTGAGAGTGGTGTTGCACACCTGTGGCCCCACCTATTTGGGGGGCTGAGGCAGAGGGGTCAAGGCTGCAGTGAGCCATGACTGTATCACTACACTCCTCCAGCCTGGGCCACAGAGTTAAGACCCTATCTCCATAAAAATAAAAATAAGCATTTCAAACAGTAACAGTGGTTTAATTCTTCCTTTGGTATCTAGAAAAAATGGATCTTTCTCTATAAAGTCTACTATGTTCTGGTCTAGTTTCAAAAAATATAAACACACTGAAATTAAAACATAAAATATTAAGAATAAAAGATGGTGTGGAGGCCAAAAACCATGAATGAGGTAGTCAATAGCGTGGCTTATATGACCCCTCGCCTGACCTCACACTTCCCAGAGGCACGTTCAGGAAGCCCCTGGCAGCCACTTCCCAAGGCTGCTCCAAGATTACATGTCACCTGGGCCTGTGAGTTATTTGAAACAGAAACCTAACCCAACGCCAAGCTGGGCTCTCTTCTGCAATAGAATTTCTGTGCAAGTCAGCCCCAGACCCTGGGAAGGTGGTGTGATGCCTGGGGATGTGGTTTCTCCGAGCAGCAGTGATGTTTGGAGATTAATATTGAAAGCTGTGCTTTGTCAGGATGGCATCAAGAATCTGCTGCAGCTCCTCATCTTCAAACCGCCCCTCCAAGCTTGGGATTAGAGCCTTGGACTCCTTGGCAGTCTCTGGGCATAGGTTGGCCAAACAGGTCAACTCAAACGTACGAAGCTTTTTCTGGAGTAGCAAGCTATGAACACTGGAAATGGTCTCTCTCTTTTTGAAATGACTGGAATGGGCTATACAGTTTAATGTTCTTATGAAGATTTCTGAGAGTTCCTGTTTATTCTCTGCACTCTTATTCTGTTGCTTTTGATGTTCCAGAGGCATATAAACTTCTGAATTTAGAAGTCTCAGCTGTTTCAAACTCTTTAGGAAAGATGAGCTGTAACGTGTCCTCTACGTCACCAGCCTGTGGATCACTGCTGCCTGCCGCCATCGCGGCATGCCACTACCCACCAAAAAACATCCTTACTTTTTAAAAAATTTCAAATAGACACAGCATCTCATTCTCTTGCCCAGGCTGCAGTGCAGTGGAGCAATCATACTTCACTGCAGTCTCAAACTTCTGGGCTCACGCAATTCTCCTGCCTCCTGTCTCAGCCTTTCAAATAGCTAGGACTACAGATATACCACTATACCACCACTCCCAGCTTTTTTTTTTTTAAGAGATGGGGTCTTAATATGTTGCTGGTCTCAAACTCCTGGCCTCAAGCCATCCTCCTGCCTCAGTCTCCCAAGTAGTTAGGATTACAGGTGTGAGCCACTGTGCTCAGCAAAACATCCTCACTTTGAAAGAAAATACAGATGGGGGAGTATACAGATTCATACAAGACTATTTTATATATATATATTTTTTTTTTTGAGACAGAGTTTTGCTCTTGTCACCCAGGCTGGAGTGCAGTGGTAAGATCTCGGCTCACTGCAACCTCCACCTCCCGGGTTCAAGGGATTCTCCTGCCTCAGCCTCCTGAGTAGCTGGGCTTACACTCATGCACCACCATGCCTGGCTAATTTTATATTTTCAGTAGAGACTGGGTTTCTCCATGTTGGTCAGGCAGGTCTTGAACTCCCAACCTCAGGTGATCTGCCCACCTTGGCCTCCCAAAGTGCTGGGATTACAGGTGTGAGCCACCATGCCCGGCCCATACAAGACTATTAAAGGGAGTATAATATAAGTGCCCAAAGACGGCTGGGCACAGTGGCTCATGCCTGTAATCCCAGCGCTTTGGGAGGACGAGGCAGGTGGATCACCTGAAGTCAGGAGTTTGAGACCAGCCTGGACAACTTGACAAAACCCCGTCTCTACTAAACATACAAAAATTAGCTGGGAGTAGTGGCAGGCGCCTGTAATCCCAGCTACTCAGGAGACTGAGGCAGGAGAATCACTTGAACCCAGGAGGTGGTTACAGAGAGCCGAGATCGCGCCAATGCACTCCAGCCTGGGTAACAGTGAGACTCTGTCTTAAAAATAAATAATAATTAAAAAAAAATCTAGACTGTTTTCAATATGGACAATGATGCTTATTTAGAAACAGTGATAAGACCAAGGGTGGCTGTGCTTTCTACTCCCTGAGCAGTCCATTAAGAGACAAATGATGACTCAGGAAATTAAAAAAGGGAAACACAAAAAGCAACCAAACCTAGAAGTCCAGGTGAATCTTAGGTCTCTTCCATCTTCTTCTTCGTGTTTTTAAGGGACAGGGATCTTACTGTGTTACCCAGGCTAGAGTGCAGCGGCGATCATGGCTCACTGCAACCTTGAACTCTCATGCTCAAGCGATCTTCTGCCTCAGCCTCTAAGTAGCTGGGACTATAGGTGCGTACCACCACACTTGGTTAATTTTTAAATTTTTAGTAGAGACAAGGTCTGGCTATGTTGCCCAGGGTGGTCTCAAACTCCTGGACGCAAGCAATCCTCCTGCTTTGGCCTCCCAAAATGCTGGGATTACAGATGTAAGCCACTGTGCTCAGCCTTTTCCATCTTCCTATACTTTTAGCAATCAATTACATTGCCCGGTGCTATCAGCCATCTAGTAGGATCTTTTATTTTTATATATTTTTTGAGACAGAGTCTCACTGTCACCTAGGCTGGAGTGCAGTGGCATTATTTTGGCTCATGGCAACCTCTGCCTCCCAGGTTCAAGTGATTTTCCTGCCTCAGCCTCCTGAGTATCTGGGACTACTGGCACACACCACCATGCCTGGCTAATGTTTGTATATTTAGTGGAGATGGGGTTTCACTATGTTGGCCAGGCTGGTCTCGAACTCTTGGAAGCAAGTGATTTCCCCCCCCCCTCTGCCTCCCAAAATACTGGGATTACAGGCATGAGCCACCACACCTGGCCTAGTAGGATCTTATATGGGAAGTTTTTCTCCTCTCCAAGCAGGCTTAGAGAGATAGGCTTGTTCTGACCCATATCTCACTAGATATTTACAAGAAAAAGTTTCTCACCATATCCTTACACATAATCAGCATTTTTGTCTGCTGCAGTCCCAGTCATTTCCTACCTTTGGCCAGTTTCAACATGCAGCAGCCTTTTGCACTGAATCCACATTGTGTGTACTGGCATGACATCACTATCCTATTCCTAGCAGGGTCTGGGAGGAGGAGACTTACAATGGTGCTTTGAGTCACAACAAAGCCCCTTCCTCTCTATTTAGGATTTCTAACATTTTTTCCTTCCACTTAAAATTCTTCTTCCCATTTAAATGAAAACAATTTTTTTATTAAAACCATAAAGGGGAAAGAAGGAGTTGGCAGGACTAAAGGTCTAAAAACTTGAGAGGGAAGAGAGTTAAGAAAAGTTATAAAACTGCTTTGTGGTTACATCTCTTGCCAACTGGTTTCACTGTTAAAGTAGAGCTAAAGCTCATGCACAGAAAAGTATCCTAGCTTTACAAATGGTCAAAAACCCCTAGACTTCAAATATGACCCCCAAACATTCAAGAACTTTTCTAATTCTAAGCAGAAAAGCGATTGGCACTCCAAGTTATGGGAAGGGATTAACAATGTCACACCTAACATAACGGAAGGCTACAGGATGCATTATTTTTTATCTCAGAAAGAATGCTTCATATTATTATATTACTTTCCAAATATTGGGATTTGGGCCAAATATTTAGCTTTTTAAAATCCAGCTTTCCCATATAGGTGGAATCTAGAGTAAAGGATGGCTTTGCTCCCCATCAGGTCTGTTTATTTCATTATAACAACTGTTGTAACGAACCATCCCTATGTATAAAGCCAGATATGTAGGAAAGTATGAGAAAACTGGAAAAATTTACCAGCTCCGAGGCCTCTGGATAGTGTTATAAATCACCAGCATATGTAACTCATTTTCTAGTTAAGTAATTCCCTCTGGGGAGAGGTCTGCAATCCACATGAAGGATCAAATTTCATTAGCAGTTGTAGGAAAACGCAACCCCGTGCATTTGCAAGTCAAAACTCCCCAAAGCTATAGCTAGTCTGGCTATCTTCATTGATTTTTCCTGAGAGAGAATTTTAGCTGATAGAAAACATTTGTTGGAAGGCACAGACGAGGAAGTTGAGAAGAAGAGAAGGGATTCAGCTAGCAGAGACAAGTAAGCCTCAGTCTTAATGTTAAACTCTGGCCTTAACACTCAGTCTGCAGCTGTGTCCAAGCAGAGAGCTATTCGGCAGTAATTCCACCCCCAAAGCTGCAAATGATAAAGAACACAGGAAGACAAATTAAAAGGGCAAGTTTACAAAAACACATAATCCACTCGGTATTAAACTCTCTTCATTTCTAGATACTGATTTGAATCCCAGTGTGAACTTGATTTAGCATTAAATTGGGTCAGAGACTCACAAATCTTAGCATCTACATACATATAAATAATTCATTTGAGACTATTAACTTATCTAACTGGAATCAAAAGACATACTGACCACTAATTCCCTTCTACTCAAAATGGCTAGAATAGAAAAACAGCTTTGTTTAGTACCTGATGCGGCCTTCTCAAGTTTCAAACCCGCCCAATTCTTACCTTGGTTTGAGTTGGTTCACCTTTCTCAAACATCATCTTAAGCCTGTTCAGTGGAACGTTGTATTTCTCTATTTTGCCTGAAGCTTCTGTGTTTTCACTGATTTCTGATTTTTCTACTTCATGCCTTGGTTCTCCTAGGCAATTTTCCATTTTTTTACTTTTTGTTGAGTGGTCTTTAAGATCCTCACTGTCCTTGATGCGGGGATATCGATACTGAACGAGGGCTTCAGGAGGTGACCTGAATCTAGATCTGGGGTGGATTTGTTCCTCTTGGACAGCTTCGGCTCCAGAAGCAGTGTGGCTTCTCACTTCAGCACGAGGATGGTCCGCTCTGTGCCTAATCTCAGTGCTGCTGTTCCGCAGAGAGTCTGTCTGAGACTCTGCTCCCAGCCCTGGGTTCTCCCACTTCTTCTTTAACACAGTCAGGGTCCCCCTTCTAAAGCTCTGGGAGAGATTTTCAGTGTTCTAGAAGAACAAGAAGTAGGTGCCAGTTAAAACTTGCCTGCTGAAACATTCAAACATGTTGTTCTTTGTAAAATGAAAGTTAAAACTCCAAGCTGCTCCTGGTCCACTGCTGTTTCAGACAGCTGTGAACAGTTATAGCCCTGCCACATGGAGAAAGCATCCACCCGGGAGAGGGAGAGGGGAAGAGAGAAAAAGTCAGGAGCTGAAGCAGGAAGTGATAAAACAGGATGGCCTTATAAGGACAAAATGAGAAGGGCAAGCCCAGCTCTGATGATAATTACATGAGAGACAAGAGATTTTTATCCAAAGATAAAAACAAGAAAGAAAAAGCAAAATACAAGTGCTTTAAACATTGTAACTACACATTAGCAAAAGTTCATCATTACCTGCCATAAAATAACATGGTAAATTCTGTTTTTTTTTCTTTTAAATAAGACAAAGATGCAGGATAGCTGAAACTGTATAATACCATTAATTATGGATAGCGGCAGCAAGGATTGAAACTATTTGTAGAACCCTAGAGAAGTCACCAGACTCTTTCAAGTATTTGCATAAATATTTAGTTATATCTGACATAATTTACATGCATATGAGCAGTCAAATTTTATTTTAACATAAGAATTTATTTTTTTTCTACCTGCTCTTCTCTACAAGTTTATCTGCATATAAATTCTCAGTTATTGGGGCTGGGCACGGTGGCCACTCATGTAATCTCTGTACTTTGGGAGGCCAAAGCAGGCAGATCACGAGGTCCGGAGTTTGGGACCAGACTGGCCAACATGGTAAACCCCATCTCTACTACAAATACAAAAATTAGCTGGGTGTGGCAGTATGTGCCTGTAGTCCCAGCTATCCCTGCCTTGGGAGGCTGAGGTAGAAGAATCGCTTGAACCTGGGAAGCGGAGGTTGCAGTGAGCTGAGACTGTGGCACTGCACTCCAGCCTGAGCAACAGAGTAAGACTCCATCTCAAAAAAAAAAAAATGATCGGTTATCAGGAAATTCACTGTCTTACAGATCCTTTGTATCTGTATGTGTACATGACATGAATAGATGCTATGATACATGCCATTTTCTTTACTTGACTCCCTACATCTCCCAACCAAGATACCCACTCCTCACAGTTTATATGATATATATGATCTCATTTTTTTCTATTTTGTATGCTATATGTAAAATATGCAGGCTTCAAAAGCAAGTAACACCACTAATCACTCAGATGAGCAAAGGACATGCACTTACATATCTAAGAGAGTTCAGGTTCACCTGGGCCAAATATGGAATTAATTTATACATATAAGACAGACTGAAAACAACCTGGAAACTGTCACTGCTGTTCCACAATAATAGAGGAAACACGCTCGTTGAAAATTAAATGTCTCGGCTGAGCATGGTGGCTCACACCTGTAATCCCAGCACTTTGGGAGGCCGAGGCAGGTGGATCACCTAAGCGCAGGAGTTCAAAACCAGCCTGGCCAACATGGTGAAACCCTGTCTTTACTAAAAATACAAAAATTAGCCAGGTGTGGTGGCATATGCCTGTAGTCCCAGCTACTCGGGAGGCTGAGGCAGGAGAATCACTTGACCCCGTGAGGCAGGGGTTGCAGTGAGCTGAGATCACACCACTGCACTCCAGCCTGGGTGACAGAGAGAAACTTTGTGTCAAAAAAAAAGAAAGAAAGAAAGAAAGAAAAGCAAAGAAAAAAAAAAGAAAACTAAATATCCTGTACTTTGAAATGACTGTTCTCCTAAATAAATTGAATAGCACCACCTTCCCAACAAACTGCAAACTCCAATACCTTTTTATTCTCCACTCCTGTAGTCTGTGACTCACCGGTCTTTCAACTAAGAAAGAAAGGACAAACAACCTAGGAATTAAACAGGATTAGCAGCTATTTTGGGAATTAAGTCTCTCACCCTACTACTCTTCTGAATATACTCTGAGAGCCACTTCATCAAGTAGCAACAAGGCTTGAAAAAAAATCACAGAACCGCTTGATTCTAGTGTTTAAATTTTAGCTTACAAAATGACCCACTGGGGGAAGAATGTATGGCTCAGAGATATAAGAAGCTTAAAAAGTTTTCTTGCTGGAAAAGAGAGAATTACAAAACAGCTCCAAAGCTGGTTCTACCCTAACGCCCAGCAGCACTCTTGGCTCTGTACGGTCTTGTGCCACACAATGGATGAGTCATCTAGGTCTCTGACTTCACCTGCCCTACTGTGCCCACAGAGGAGCCCTGACAATCCAAGTGGCACTCTGCCTTGGTAACTGGACACTATTTTTCTCAGATACATATCATGTGATCAAAGGATACTTTTCAGTGAAGAAAGCAAATTATAAGACAGCATGATCTCATTTTGCTTTATTTTTAATTCTTATTTTTCAGATACAGGGTTTTGCTTTGTCACTTAGGCTGAACTGCAGTGGAATAATCATAGCTCACTGAAGCTGTTTGACCTTCTGCGCTCAAGTGATCTTCCCACCTCAGCCTTCTGAGCAGCTAGGACTACAGGTGTATGTCAGCATGCCTGGCAAGTTTTTTTTTTTTTTTTTTTTTGAGGATGGAGTCCTGCTGTCGCCCAGCTGAACTGCAGTGACACAATCTTGGCTCACTGCAACCTCCTCCACCTCCTGGGTTCAAGCGATTCTCTCTGCCTGAAACTCCCAAGTAGCTGGGACTACAGGTGCACACTGCCACACCCAGCTAATTTTTGCATTTTTAGTAGACCACCATGTTAGCCAGGCTGGTCTCGAACTCCTGACCTCAAGTGTTCCGCCCGCCTTGGCCTCCCAAAGTGCTGGGATTACAGGTGTGAGCCACGGTGCCCAGCCCAATTGCCTCTTTAAATTTTTCATTACTTTATCTTATTTTAAATTTATTATTTTTCTCAATTACAAAAGTAATAATTTATTGGGGGAAAAAACTCACAATCAATATAGGAATGTGTACATGACATGAATAGATGCTATAATACATGCCATTTTCCCTCCTCAACTCCCCACATCTCCCAACCAAGACACCTACTCCTGACAGTTTATATGATATATATGCTCTCATTTTTTTCTATTTTGTATGCTATATGTATTTTTTGCACAAAATCATACTGTAATTACTGTTCTGCACTTTGCTCTAATCACTTAATGTGCTTTTGATATCTTTTCATACCCATAAATAAAATCTTTTTTTTTTTTTCAAGATGAAGTCTTGCTCTGTCACCCAGGCTGGAGTACAGTAGCATAATCTCAGCTTGCCGCAACCTCCACCTCCCAGGTTCCAGCAATTCTCTTGCTTCAGCCTCTCAAGTAGCTGGGCTTACAGGAATGTACCACTATGCCACCTAATTTTTGTATAATTAGTAGAGATGTGGTTTCACCATGTTGGCCAGGCTGGTCTTCAACTCCTGACCTTAGGTGATCTACCTGCCTTGGCTTCCCAAAGTGTGGGGATTACAGGTATGAGCCACCATCCCCAGCCTCTTCTTTAAATACCTACCTATTCATGTCCACTTACCTCAGCTGCTAAATGCATTGAAGACTTCTGCTTTATGGATCTCACTATAGCATTTGACATTACTGACCACTCTCCCTTGTAAAAATTGCTTCCAACTTTTCTGGGATACCCCTTTTTCTTACATTTCTTCGCATTTTGAGATGCAAGAATGGTGTGGAAAAAACAATAATGAAAAGAGAGATTTCTTCTCATTTATGTGGCCACTACTCAGTTTTTGTTTTTCATTCTTGTTGCTCAGACTGAAGTGCAATGGCACCATCTCGGCTCACTGCAATCTCCGCCTCCCAGGTTAAAGCAATTCTCCTGTCTCGGCCTCCCTAGTAGCTGGGATTACAGGCATGTACCACCACACCTGGCTAATTTTGTGCTTTTAGTAGAGACGGGGTTTCTCCATGTTGGTCAGGCTGGCCTTGAACTCCAACCTCAGGTGATCTGCCCGCCCTGGCCTCCCAAAGTGCTGGGATTACAGGTGTAAGCCACCAAGCCCAGCCCTTCTCAGTTTCTTAGTTTTTCCTTATTCTTTTTTTTTTCATAACAGATTTCTCCTCCTCTGTTCTTCCCTTATATGGTAGGATCCCTCAGGGTATTTGTCTTAGGTCCTCTGCTTTGCTTACTTTACATATTCTCTGTATATAATGTTATCCATCCCAATTTCACCCACCATATAGATTATAGCATCAATAAATACACAGATAGATCTATACTGTGTGACTATATAGACAGTTATAGAACCTATATCTCTAGTCAAATATAGACAGTTATAGAACCTATATCTCTAGTCAAGACAAATATAGAACCTATATCTCTAGCTCTCCTTTTCTACCAATTCTACCTGAAAGTGCTAGAGGCATCTTAAACTCCTCTTTGCTTAAGGTTGAAGTTTTCCCTTTCTTCCCTTCACTCCTCAGTCTTTAACCTGTTCCTTGTCTTGAATTATCTATCTTGGTGAATGTGACAACCATATTTTTGTTCGTCAAGCAGCATTGTTCTCTTATGCCTTCATGCTTTGTGTGTGCTGCTTCCTCCACTGAGAACACAAAGCATCTGCCGCTACCTGCCCCCTCTGCTTCACTAATTCCTTTTGGTCCTTTAGGGTTGAGTCAGGCACTGCCTCTTCTAGGAAGCCTTCCTTGATGTGGTATAGTCCAGGTCTCTCCTAAATTCTCCCCCAGCCCACTCTGAGTATTTCTTTGATATGGTACTCATCACACCTGGATTGTAATTATATTTTCCAAATTCTAAATAGTCCCTTGGAGGCAGAGAACACATCTTATTCTTCTTGTGTCTTCAGCAGCTGGAAAGTAAGAGATGCTCCATAGATGACTGTCTATACTTGTGGGGTTAACTTCTCTCATCCCATTGTTTTGAACTTAGTCCATTTCAGGCCTTTATCCTACCACTCCCAAACAATACAAGGTGACCAATGACCTTCATGTTGCCAAATCGGATGGTCAGTTATCAGCTTATCTGTGTGTTTGACTTTGACAATTCCCCTTCTAGAAACTCTTTCTTCATTTGGCTTCTGGCACTGGTTTCCTCTGCTGGTTACTCATTATATCTCCAACCTTTAAACACCAGGGTGCCCCTGAGCTAAATCATGAGACCACTTCTCTGTCTATACTCACTTCTAGCTTATCTCATGCAACTCATAGCTTTAAGTACCACTGATACTTTGACACACATCCATCTTATCTGCAGCAGGGATCTCTTCCAATTCCAGATTTTTATATAGTATCCAAGTTCCTACTGGTATTTCCATTTGGATGTCTTAATAAAACACATCACAGTTAACATGTGCAAAACTGATCTTCTACTATTTCTCCCTATCCAAATCTGCTTTTACTGTAGTCTTTCCCATCTTAATCAATGGTTTTTGTTTTGTTTTGTGAAACGGTAGGCTGGGCGTGGTGGCTCACGCCTGTAATCCAAGCACTTTGGAGGCTAAGGCAGGTGTATCACCTGAGGTTGGGAGTTCAAGACCAGCCTGACTAACATGGTGAAACCCCGTCTTTATAAAAAAAAGAAAAGAAAAGAGACAGAGTCTCACTCTGTCACCAGGCTGGAGTGCAGTGGTGCAATCTCGGCTCACTGTAACCTCTGCCTCCCGGGTTCAAGTGATTCTTCTGCCTCAGCCTTTCGAGTAGCTGGTGTGGTCACAGGTGTGCACCACCACACCCAGCTAATTTTTGTAGTTTTAGTAGAGATGGGGTTTCACCATACTGGCCAGGATGGTCTTGATCTCTTGACCTTGTGACCCACCTGCCTCGGCCTTCCAAAGTGCTGAGATTACAGGGGTGAGCCACTGCACCTGGCCTCAATTAATGGTATTTTAATTTAATTGTGTTTGGACCAAAAATATTGCTGCTTTTTAAAATATATATAGAGAGATGGGGTCTGCTATATTGTCCAGGCTGATCTTGAACTCCTGACCTCAAGTGATTCTTCTGCCTTGACCTCCCAAAGTTCTGGGATTACAGGCACAAGCCATTGGCATGGCAACTGCCACCATTATTGATTCTTCTTTCTCTCTACTTTCAACATACATCTTGACCACATCTCAATACCTATACTGCTATTACTCTAGTCCAAATCATATTATACCTGGCCTAAATCATTATAATTGCCTCTTAATTATGCTTCTGCCATTATTCCCCTGTATTCTCTTCCTTCTATTTTTTTTACATTTAAAAAAATAGGGTCCCGCTAGGTTGCCCAGGTCAGTCTTGAACTCATGGTCTCAAGCGGTGCTCCCACCTTGGCCTCGTAAAGTGCTGTGATTACAGCCTTCTATTCCTTTTTTAAAAAAAATTTAAGTCAGGCTGGGTGCAGTGGCTCATGCCTGTTATCCCAGCACTTTGGGAGGCCAAGGTGGGCAAATCATGAGGTCAAGGGATCGAGACCATCCTGGCCAACATGGTGAAACCCCGTCTCTACTAAAAATACAAAAATTAGCTAGGTGCAGTGGTACGCGCCTCTGGTCCCAGCTACTCAGGAGGCTGAGGCAGAAGAATAGCTTGAACCCAGGAGGTGGAGGTTGCAGTGAGCCGAGATTGTGCCATTGCACTTCAGCCTGGCAACAGAGCAAGACTCCGTCTCAAAAAAATAAAAATTTAAGTCAGATCACATCACTCCTTTGCATATAAACCCTCTCCAAAGGCCTCCTTGCATTCTGAGTTAAAGCCCAGGTCTTTACAATGACACCAAGTGACCGCTCTTGTATTCCTCAAATACACCAAGACTGCTCTTGCCTGATGACATTCGCACATGTAGTTCCTCTGCCTAACCCTTTCTTCTCCCTGGCTCAAGTCCTCAAATCTCTGCTCAAACATCTCATCACAGGCCTTCCTTGACCACCCTAGGCTCTGTCCTCCTTACCTGCCTCATGCTGTTCCACAGCACTAATCACTAGTGACACAATTTCTTTAAAAAAAATTTTTTTTTTGAGATGGAGTCTCACTTTGTTGCCCAGACTGGAGTGCAGTGGTACAATCTCGGCCCACTGCAACTTGCCTCCTGGGTTTCAAGTGATTCTCCTGCCTCAGCCTCCAGAGAAGCTGGGGTTACCGGCATGCACCACCATGCTCAGCTAATTTTTGTAGAAACAGGGTTTCACCATGTTGGCCAAGCTGGTCTCCAACTCCTGACCTCAGGTGATCCACCCGCTTCAGCCTCCCCAAATGCTGGGCTTACAGGTATGAGCCACCGCGCCCGGCCATACTAACGCAATTTCTTTGTTGTCTGTTTTTTGCAGTAGAATGTAAATTCCATGAAGACTGAGAGGTAATCTGTATTCTTAGAGCCTAAAACAGTGCTTGGCATGTAGTAGGTGCTCAGTGAAAACTTGTTAAATGGATGAGAGTGAAAGGAAAGAAGGAAGGAAGGAGCAAGTGGGGGAAAAAACAGGCAGAATCAAGAGGAAAGGAAGAAAAGGAACCAGCAGTTGAGTAAAGTAATGGTTGTTTTTTCTTACAATGCATGAGAGGAGATTCATTTTTTAATTACAGAAAAATTAAGCCAATGACCTGGTCAGTATGAACAAATTTACAGGGACAAGTTATGTACTAATGTAAATAGGTTAGGTACTGAAAACTGCCAGGAGGATGTTTTTGTAATGCCATCCAAATTAAGGAATTATCGCCCAATATATGAGTTTCTTTCCTCACAAGATTAAATCAAGTAAAATTTCAAAAGACATATATTCTTTAGCCCAGCTGAAAGTTAGCAAGCATGGAGAATAGAGAATGGATAAAAGCAGAGACTTTATTCTGGAGGTTTTTGTCTTTGACAGATCTGCAGCTAGGAAACTTGCTAACTAGCTTGAGCCAACAAGTTTGCTTTAAACAAAAAACCTAGACGATGACAACAGCTGCACAGCTACTACCATTTAAATGCACAGATGTAGAAGTTCTGATTGTGTGATTTGGAGGAAGACTGCCTAGGAAACCCTGTGTTCTCATTTGAGTAGAAGCCATTTTACTAACCTCAAGCAAAGCACTTGGCCTCTTGTCCAACATAGGAAAGAAAAAGTTGTTTCAAAAGGAGAACTACAGTGAAAAAATGAGATTCCCTGCACTAAGCCAAGTTGTCCTGAGCAAATGGCTCACAGATCACACCAGCTGGCACAAATGTCCACTCAGCTGACACAGAACCCAAGCCCCACAGAGGCTGCAGGTGGCTTGGCCACACTGCTCTGCTCAAGAAGTGCCACGTGCCCTGGAATTTCTGAATACTTACACTTCTCTTCTTCTCCATGTTTGTTTCTTCAGCTGCTTTCTGGTACCTTCAGAGAAGGGGGGAGGGAAGAATGTCTTAAATTAAACTTATATTTTTACTCCTTCAATTTTTTTTTGAGACAAGAGTCTTGCTCTGTCACCAGACTGGAGTGCAGTGGCGCAATCCCAGTTCACTGCAACCTCTGCCTCCTGGGTTCAAGCAATTCTTCTGCCTTGGCCTCCCCAATAGCTGGGACTACAGGCAAGTGCCACCATGCTCAACTAATTTTTTGTATTTTTAGTAGAGACAGGGTTTCACCATGTTGGCCAGGATGGTCTTGATCGCTTGATCTTGTGATCCGTCCACCTTGGCCTCCCTGTCACCCAGGCTGCAGTGCGGTGGTGTGATCTCGGCTCACTACAACTTCTACCTCCTGAGTTCAAGTGAATCTCCTGCCTCAGCCTCCATGGTAGCTGGGATTACAGGCACCCACCACTATGCCCGGCTAATTTTTGTGTTTTTAGTAGAGATGGGGTTTTACCATGTTGGCCAGGCGGGTCATTACAGGTGTGAGCCCACCTCTTTTTTCTTTTGAGATAGGGTCTCACTCTGTTGCTCAGACTAGAATACAGTGGTACAACCATGGTTCATCATGGTTCCTACAGCTTTGACCTCCCGGGTTCAAACGAACCTCCTGTCTCAGCCTTCTGAGTTGCTGGGACTATAAGTCCACATCGCCACCACACCTGGCTTATTTTTTTTATTTTTATAGAGATGGTGTCTTTTTTTTTTTTTTTTTTTTTGAGATGGCGTTTCGCTCTTGTTACCCAGGCTGGAGTGCAATGGCGCGATCTCAGCTCACTGCAACCTCCACCTCCTGGGTTCAGGCAATTCTCCTGCCTCAGCCTCCTTAGTAGCTGGGATTACAGGCATGCGCCACCATGCCCAGCTAATTTTTTTTTTTTTGTATTTTTAGTAGAGACAGGGTTTCACCATGTTGACCAAGATGGTCTCGATCTTTTGACCTTGTGATCCACCCGCCTCGGCCTCCCAAAGTGCTGGGATTACAGGCGTGAGCCACCACGCCTGGCCAAGATGGTGTCTTGCCATGTCGCTTAGGTTAGGTTTCAAACTCCTGAGCTCAACTGATCTTCATGCCTCAGCCTCCTAAAGTGTTGAGATTACAGGTGTGAGCCATCATCCCTGGCCACTTTCTTTTTCGTTTTTTTTTTTTTTTTTTTTTGAGATGGGGTTTCTGTCACCCAGGCTGAAGTTCAGTAGTGTGATCTTGGCAGCACTGCAACCTCTACCTCCAGAGTTCAGATGATTCCACCTCAGCCTCCTGAGTAGCTAGGACCACACGTGTGCATCACCATGCCTAATTTTTTGCATTTTTCATAGAGATAGGGTTTCACCATGTTGCCCTGGCCAGTCTCAAACTCCTGAGCTTAAGTGATCTGGGTCACTTCACACCGCCCGGAACTGTTTTTTTTTCCCCAAAGATTGAAAGTGGCTGGGGGCTGGGCCTGGTGGCTCACACCTGTAATCCCATCACTTTGGGAGGACGAGGCGAGCAGACCACCTGAGGTCAGGAGTTCAAGACCAGCCTGGCCAGCACGGTGAAACCCCATCTCTACTAAAAATACAAAAATCAGTCAGGCATGGTGGTGTATACCTATAATCCCAGCTACTAGGGGGGCTGAGGCATGAGAATCACTTGAACCTGGAAGGCAGAGGTTGCAGTGAACTGAGATCACGCCACTGCACTCTAGCCCAGGTAACAGCAAGACTCAAGAAAAGAAAAAGAAACCAGTTCTGCATACCTATTTCTGCCAGCAGTTGCCTTTAATCCACTCTATCAGAAGGAGCTGTAAATCAGAGCAGACCTCACTTCCTGCAGCTATTCCAGTCATCAGCTCTGATATAACAGCAAGATCCCCATGGTTAAGGTCAAATGCTCAAACAACTAGATAGAGCAGAAAGTCTGGGCTTTAAGCCCCAGTTTTGCTGCTTATTAACTGTGATCTCTGGCAAGTGACTTAACCTCTCTAAGCCTCAGTTTTCTTATGTAGAAAGTGGTTACAGTCTACTTTCAGGATTGCTGGGAAGATTAAATGTAATCACATTTGTAAAAACACTTTGAAATTAGTTGTCTATATGGCAATGCCGTAATTCCAACATCTACATTTTCCTTTCTGCATTTATGCCTCTGAAATCTTACAACTGTTCTCAGCCAAATAGTTGAGAGGTAGCCACACTCCCTGTACATGTTGAATTTAGTATAAGTTATTGATATTGTCATTTTAACTCAATTAAATGTATTTGATGGTACTACTTGGTTTTGTTTTATTTTGTTTGAGACTGAGTTTCACTCTTGTTGCCCAGGCTGGAGTACAATGGCATGATCTCGGCTCACTGCAATCTCAGCCTCCCAGGTTCAAGCATTCTCCTACCTCAGCCTCCCAAGTAGCTGGGATTACAGGCATGTGCCACCATACCTGGCGAATTTTTGTATTTTTACTAAAGACAGAGTTTCAGTGTGTTGGTCAGGCTGGTTTCAAACTCCTGACCTCATGTGATCTGTCCACCTAGCCTCCCAAAGTGCTGGGATTACAGGCTTGAGCCACTGCACCTGGCTATTACTATATGTTTTAAATGCCACTTTAAAAATGTCTTTTAAAAGATTACACTATATTTGGCATTTAAGGAAAAATTATTTTACATATGCACAAGAGTGATATATGAGAAAAGTCTGTGATAAGCACAGGTCAGTTTAATCAGCATTTTTTCTTAGCGATGCAAAAACAGTGGCACAGCCTATAGTTGATGACATCTTAGATTTCATAAATAATATATAATTTTAAAATTATTTATTACTTTTATCATTTTATCATTTTTATTACTTGGATCAGAAGATCTCTGAGAAAAAAATTAAAGTCCTTTTCAAGGATGATCAGGTTTTCTCCATTTGATGACTAAGTGGTTTGAAGATCTATGCAGGTCTAAGCTGCACAAAATCTCCAGACCACCCAGAACAACTGTTTTTTGAGACAGTCTTGCTTTGTTGCCCAGGCTGGAGTGCAGTGGAGTGATCTCAGCTCACTGCAACCTCCACTTCCTGGGTTCAAATGATTCTTATCCCTCGGCCTCTGGAGTAGCTGGAGTTACAGGCATGCCCTACCATGCCTGGCTAATTTTTGTATTTTTAGTAGAGACAGGGTTTCACCATGTTGACCAGGCTAGTCTCAAACTCCTGGCCTAAAGAGATATACCTGCCTTGGCCTCTCAAAGTGCTGGGATTACAGGCATGAGCCACCACACCTGGCCCCAGAACAACCTTAACCTAGCTTCCTCCAGACCTCTGAGTCATTCATTGGAGTCAGCACCATTAAGTGGAGAATCACCATGATGTGCCTCTCCTTGGGCCGGCATTAGCAGAACCCAGTTAGCCCCACCCCTAGAAAAGGGCACTGTTCAAAGAGCACTACCCTCTGCCTAAAGGTAGAATTTTCAGAATTCACAAGGCCTTTGGAGTAGGAGGTAAGAGAAGAAGAAACAAAGCAGCCTCAGGCCTGGTGCACTGGCTCACACCTGTAATCCCAGCACTTTGGGAGGCAGAGGTGGGCTGATCATTTGAACCCAGGAGTTTGAGACCAGACTGGGCAACATGGTAAAATCCTGTCTCTACAAAAAGTACAAAAATTAGCCAGGTGTGGTGCATGCCTGTAGTCCCAGCTACAGGGAAGGCTGAGATAGGAGGATTCCTTGAGCCTGGGAGGTTGAGGCTGCAGTGAGCTATGATCATGTTGCTGTACTCTGGCCTGAGCTACAGAGTGAGACCCTGTCTTAAAAAAAAAAAAAAAAAAAAAAGGGCAGCCTTGACCTCCAGGACTCAAGCAATCCTCCCACCTCAGCTGGGACTAAAGACATCTACCACCACACCTGGCTAATTTAAAAAAATTGTTTTTAGTAGATATAGGGTCTTGTTATGTTGCCCAAGCTGGCCTCAAACTCCTGAGCTCAAGTGATCCTCCTGTCTCAGCCTCTCAAAGTGTTGAGATTACAGGCATAAGCCACCATGCCCAGCTAAGAGAGTATTACATAAAGTGTCCTCCAATCCTATCTTTTTTTTTTTTTGAGAAGGATTCTTGCTCTGTCCCTCAGGCTAGAGTACAGGGGCATAATATCAGCTCACTGCAACCTCTGCCTCCTGGGTTGGAGTGATTCTCCTGCCTCAGCCACCTGAGTAGCTGGGATTACAGGTGTGCACCACAATACCTGGTTATTTTTGTTTTTATTTTAGTAGAGATGGGTTTCATCATGTTTGCCAGACTGGTTTCAAACTCCTGACCTCAAGTGATCCACCAGGCTTGGCCTCCCAAAGTGCTGGGATTACAAGCGTGAGCCACCATGCCTAGCCCCCAACCTTATCACTGTCTAATTTTAACAATCAGATATTAACAAGTATCTCATTCACCATGTAGATATTGCTCTGCAATTGAGCAGAACTCTCTAATTGGGTAGGGGAAAAGAACTACCAAAAATTTCTGGCATTTAATTGACCATAAATAGGAAGAAAGTGGGATTAGAACTGCTATAACTCAATTGACAAGTTAAAAATATATTTGCAACTTATATTACAGACAAAAAATTAATTTCCCTAGAATATAAAGAACTACTAATCAACAGTAAAACGACAACTAAATAAATAAAAAGGCAGATATAAACATAAAGTTCATGGCTGGGTGTGGTGGCTCATGCCTGTAATACCAGCACTTTGGAAGGCCGAGGCAGCGGGATCTCCTGAGGTCAGGAGTTCAAGATCAACCTGGTCAACATGGCAAAACCCTTTCTATAGAAATACAAAGATTAGCCAAGCACGGTGGCTCACACTTATAGTCCCAGCTACTTGGGAGGCTGAAGGAGAGAATCTCTTGAATACAGGAAGCAGAGGTTGCAGTGAGCTGAGATCACACCACTGAACTCCAGCTTGGGCAAGAGAGTGAGACTCAGTCTCAAAAAAAAAAAAAAAAATAGTGGTTAAAATGGTAAATTTTATGTTATATA